ACGTACGAGCCTTCTGAGGAGGCCGGCCCCCTCTCGCTTCCCCCCCGCGCTCGCCGCCAATGATCAAGCAGTGGCGAAGCGTCCCGGCTTGCCTATAGGCCCATCCAGGAATGTTCTAAGTTTTTTTTGTGATCTGCACGACGTGTTCTGAGAACTGTTCTGGCCGAGATCGTTTTTTTGTTTGACACATCGGGTCCGTACCCTAAGGGCAGTGCTTCTGTTATTGGAACGTCTAGGAACATCTCGCGGTACAGTCACGACGCTGAAATCAAGAACAGTTTGGGTTCGGAAGGGACTCGATGTTCCTTACGGAAGGTTCGCGCCGTGTCGACCAGCGGCGACCCCAGCGCGGGCGTTCAAGGTTGAACGCCGCCCGTGGCCCAGAATCGGGCGATGCTCAGCGATCGGACGTTTCGGAAAGTGCCGATCGTTCAAGGTTGAACGATCCTCGCGGTGTCAGGAACCAACGCGGGGGTCGACACGACACGAACCAGCCGTAGGCTCCTCCAGTGCTGTTCCTCTTGCCCCCGCGGGGCGCGGAGGCGCTCGCAGGGCCGAGACGAGGGGCCTCGCTCCTTTCTGGCGCTCCTTCTCGCCGCGGCCCGACTGCAGGTCTGCAGGGATGCCGGGACGGTCGGCCCCTGCTCAAATCGGGAGCCCTGAGACGGTCGGGGGAGAAAAAGATACGGATACGTGTTGTCCCCCGGGCCTTTCCTGGTCCTCCTGGGGAATCCTCGTTGTCACCGCTGGATTCGCCTCGAAATTCTGGTCAGAACGCACCCCAAGAGAGGTCCGGGGACAACACGTATCCGTATCTTTCCGCCCCCCAAACGGGGGTCAATGCAAACGGGGGTCAGCCAGGGCACCAGATCCTGCGAAGACCCCCTCTGGCTGACCCAGGTTCGCGAGCCGCTCGTGGCCGCGAGGCGGCCGCGCACATTGGGGTTGTTCCTGCATATTGCAGTTTTTGGTTTCCTGCTGACCCGGGTCTGGATTGACCCAGGTCAGAAGATCCCCGATCACTGAGGGGAAAGAGACCCCTAACCCTAATACCATAGTGAAGACGTGGCCTCACCGAGGTCCCCGTCTTCGCACTAGGGATCCTAAGTCTGGGCGGCTTGGTCTGATGCATCTGCAGCACGTCCCCAATGTTTTTTAGCCCTCCTGCGTAACTTCCCGGATCAAAAGACGGGGGCCGCGGCGGCGGGGAGAGGGAGGAGGGAGGAGGGAGGAGGGAGGAGGGAGGAGGGAGGAGGGAGGAGGGAGAGCGAGACGGGCGCGCCTCGCTTCCCTGCACGGCGCTCGAGGGCGCCGTGCCTCGCCGGCGCCGGGCGCCACGCGGCTCCCTGGCGGGGCTCGTCGGGCGCTGGTGCCGCGAGGGGCAGAGGTCGGGCAGGCCCCGCGTGCGGGAGGCGGCGCGGAGGGTGCGAGGCGGGCAGTCACCACCCACCAAACCACCCCAACCCAACCCGAAGGCCCCAATTTATCCTCGATTTCCAGTGGGGGGGGGTCGTGGAACATCGAAAAAACACGTGTGGAACCCTTACCCCCCCCAACCCGAAATTCGGGTCTTCGGGTTGGGTTGGGGTGGTCTGGGAGGTAGTCAGGCAGGTCCCCTTGAGAGCAGGGAGTGTTCCAAGACTGCCAGAAAGCAGTCCGGCGACGAGTTTCGGTTATCTGGGCCTATCTCTCGAATATGTGTTTTCACCATTTTTCGGCTGGTTCGAATCTGTTTCACCCACTTCATTGACGAGTTCGAGTTTAAAAAAAAAAAAAAAAAAAAATCGAATGTGTGTCGCCAAATGTTGCCATGTTCCTTCCCAAATCCGCCTGCAGGGGCACGTGCCCGACCTCGCGCGAGGGAGCAGCGGCACCGCCGGCAGGTTGCCCCCCTCCCGCGCAGAGCAGATCGGAGGCCGCAGGCGTGGTGCTCCGCCCGCCCCTGCTGCTGCCGGTCCCCGAGGCCCCCGGGCTTGGCTTCAGTTCTGGACGCCCGAAATGGGTACTGAAAGAATGGGTACTATGCCCAACAGCGGGTCTTGTTCATTTTGAACAAGATCCGCTGTCCACGCCGCCGCGGCCTGTGTCCATTCGAGACAGAAGGCCGCCCGCCCAACAGCGGCCGCTGTTGGTTTGGAACAACATTTGTTGTTGGGCATTGTACCCATTCTTTCGGTACCCATTCCGGGCGTCCAAATCAGTCGGGCGTGTCCCCCCACAGGGGGATTTTCGACGAAACATTAAAAAAAATACCCCCCAAATAGTCAAATAATAATCCACACATAGTCTGGGGACTATTTTTGGGTATTTGCTTACCTTTCTGGGGTATTTTGGGTGTATTCTTTATTTTTTTGTTTTCTCGAAAATCCCTCTGTATGGGGAGACAGGCCCGACTTACGACTGGGCTCGTGTCGATTCCCCGAGACGCCTGGACTGGGCTCAAGTCGGGCCTGTCCCCCTACAGTGACGAACGAGCAACACGCACCCACACCCATAGGGAGGACGGAGGGGGCTGTGGGCGCGTGTTGTCGGATGGGGCTCCCCGCTCGAACGGGAGACTCCCCCGTGGTCCGACAACCCGCACCCATACCCATAGCAAGTCCTCCTCCCGCCGACCCCCCCATGGGTATGGGTGTGTGTTTTCCGTTCGTCATACAGGGGGATTTTCGACGACAAATAAAACATACCCCCAAAATAATCAAAAAACAATCCAAAAATAGTCTGGGGACTATGTTTTGAATCTTGTTTAACCTTTGGGGGGCATTTTTGGGGTATTTTTTATTTTTCGTCGAAGATCCCCCTGTAGGGGGACAGGCCCGACTTAAGACTGGGCTCGTGTCGATTCCTCCGATTCGATTCGGTTCGGCTTCGATGGCTCCCGATTCCGATTCGACTCGGCTCTGGATCCCGATGTGGACTCCGATGTACCCATGAGGCCTCACTAACTACTCTGCCGATTTCAGCCTGTTCGACTTATCCCGACTTGGCTGCCGATTTTCCGCCGATCCGATTCATTTCGATCGCCGCTTCGACTCATCGGTCCGATTCTGGGCTCTCCTGCCTGGAGAGCCGAGGGTCTGGGGGCACCTCGAGGTGTTGTGGGCCCGAAGTTGCCTCCCACACACCTGGCCGCCGTGGCTCCCTTGGCGGGGTGCTTCCAATGAAGGTGTTTGTTTCTGCTCTCTATTCCCACGACCCCCTGGCCAATCCGCCCCCGCACCCTTTCTCCTGCGGCGCGGGAGCGGTCCCAGAAATGGAAGACCACCCCCCTTTCCCCAGCAGAGCCCCCCCCTCCCGCAGCAGAGCTGAAGCCAAGGCTGTAGCTGTAGCTGTTTCAGGCTCACGCGCTGGATCGGCGGCTTTCCACGACCCCCTGAGCAGAGCGGGTGACACACTTCACTGAACCACGTGCCGGAGCAGGACGCCCCCTCGGCACCCGCCCTGACCGACCCCCCGGCCCACGCCCCGGCCCTGGGCTGGCCCGGCGGCCGCCGCCCCCGGCCCAGCATGAGGGGTTGCCGAAGGTGTCCTTTGGCCCAAGGCGAGCGACACAACAAAGCGGGGTCGTCTGCGCCGACATTGGCGCGTAAGCTCCCCGCGCAAGGTCGCGCGTAAGCGCCCTCGCCTCCAATGCGGCGTGCCGCGCTGGCGGCCCGCGCAAGCCGCCGCGTTGGGTCGCTACGCCATCTCGCGCAAGACCCGTTTTTGATCGTCGCTCAGGTGTCCCCAGCTTTTCGCTCCGTCTTGGAGCCCCTGGGGCCCTCTGGGTCTCGTGAGGGGGGTGCTCTGGAGGCCGTGGGGGCCTCCTTTGCAATCCTGGGGGCGCCTCGGGCCAGGGGCGCGCTTATATATGTAGCAGCACCCGACGGCTGTCCCGACCCATCCCCCGGGGCCAGCTTGTCGGTCGCGGGTGCCTTCTGTGTGTGGCCCCGGGGCCCAGGCAAGGACCCCCCCATGGCCGGGATCGAAGGGAGCACGCTTCGAGCAGGGGATCGGTTGTAGAGTTAAGTCGGGCCTGTTCCTCTACAGGGAAGAAATTCAAAAATAGTCAAAACATGGTCTGGGGACTATTTTTCCCTACATAGGCTCTGCCTAGAAGGGTTCTTACTCTCTTCGCTTAAAGGGGCCGGGCAGTGCAAAGCGCCCCGGGCGGTTCCCCCAGTCCCCGCCCCGCGGTTCCCCCCAGTCCCCTGGGAGCTTTAGCTTTAGCTTTAGCTTTAGCTTAGCTAGCTTAGCTTAGCTGTAGCTTAGCTTTAGCTTAGCGTTTCGCTTAGCTGTTCGCTTAGCGTTTAGCTTAGCTTTAGCTTAGCTTTAGCTTAGCTTGTAGCTTAGCTGTAGCTTAGCTTTAGCTTAGCTTTAGCTTAGCTTTAGCTTAGCTTTAGCTTAGCTTTAGCTTAGCTTTAGCTTAGCTGTAGCTTAGCTTTAGCTTAGCTGTTGCTCAGCTAGCTTAGCTTTAGCTTAGCTTTAGCTTAGCTTAGCTTAGCTTTAGCTTAGCTTTAGCTTAGCTTTAGCTTAGCTGTGGCTTAGCTTTAGCTTAGCTTTAGCTTAGCTTTAGCTTAGCTTTAGCTTAGCGTTACTGTTACTACTAATGCTGCTTTCCTAGGGGTTCCAACTCCTAGGTAGGGTCGCACTGAGATAATTTAGCAGTTGTGGGCATCTTTTGAGTATGTTTTGGGTATTTTTTTTTCGTCCAAAACCCCCCTGTAGGGGGGTAGGCCCGACCTAATTGTAGAGTCGATGTGCCCCGAAGGTTTTTTTTCTTCGAGCCTACGAGCAGTACGTAGAATGCTCTGTAGATCTGCGAGCATCGCTGCAGATCCACGAGCATTCCACGTTTTCTCTGTTGTGGTAGAACCGACGAGACAGACATGGTGCGGGCGAGCCAATTCTGCAGCCGATCTCCTGTGTACTCCGAGCGCTCGGATGGAGCAACTCCTGCCGTCGGCGGTCTGGATCTGGCCCCCGCCCGTGCCGAGAGACGCCTATGGCGCCCGCCCGAGGCCTCGACGCCGCGGTGGCCTGGGCCACCACCGCGGGGAGCCTCCTGCTGGACCCCACGCTCGGGTTCGGCATCGGCCTCGTGCTCTACGCCGCGGCGCACGCGCTGCGGGGGAAGTTTCGCTCGAAAGGCGGGGCGGGGAGAGGGGGCCGCAGAGGCCCGGGCGCTGCACGTCTGCTCGTCCACCTCCTCCTCCTCCTCCTCCTCCTCCTCCTCCTCCTCCTCCTCCTCCTCCTCCTCCTCCTCCTCCTCCTCCTCCCCCTCCCCCTCCTCTCCCCCTCCCCCTCCTCCTCCCCCTCCCCCGGGCCTCTGCACGCTGCAGAGGCCCGGGCGGCTGGTCTTCCTCGCCCCGGGGACCAGCACAGACCGATCCGGCTCGGGTGCCTGCGGCTGACAGGTGGGGTCTGCATACCCAGACCCCCTCGAGCAATGAAAAAATCATGACGGGAGGTTTTTCCTAATTTTCGGCCTCGGGGGGCCCTCACCGGGCCTCGGGAGTGTCAAAAAACGACTCAGGATGCAAAGCTGGTCATGGAGAAAGGGTCGGGACCTACGGGGGTCGACGTAATGAAAAAATCATTACGTCGGGGGCCTGGGTAGGGCTCCAGCGGAGCTTTCTCTTCGCGATGCCGCACGCTCGTTCGCAACGTCGGATCTCGGGGCGGGGGGGTCACGAGCGACGCGCGCATCCGTATCCGCGCCCCCGCGGTCTGCACCCTGGGCCTCGGTGCCGCAGATGTGCGGTCGCACGGGCAGGCGTTCCGCGCGGGGCGGCCGCGAGAACACGGCCCGCATCCGCGGGGTCGCGGCTCCAGGGGCCCAGGCCGCGAGGCCGCGGACACGGATATCGTCTTCGCCCTTCTTGAGGGGGCGGGCGAGGCATGGGGACGGAGGCTGGGGGCGCCTCGTGCCACGCGACCGTGGCGCGCCCCCGGCGACAGGGCGGCTCCTCCCTTCCCCCCCCTCCCCCATCCTCGTCGTGCCTCTTTCCCCCCTCCTCCTCCTCCTCCTCCTCCTCCTCCTCCACCTCCTCCTCCTCCTCCTTCTCCTCCTCCTCCTCCTCCTCCTCCTCTTCCTCCTCCTCCTCCTCCTCCTCCTCCTCCTCCTCCTCTTCCTCCTCCTCCTCCTCCTCATCATCATCCTCCTCCCTTCCTCCTCCCGCTCATCCTCCTGCTCCTCCTCCTCCTCCTTCAACCGCGACCCTGGCACCAATCCCTCTTTAGGATCGGTGGCCACCAGGGTCAGGCGTGTGAGGGCGCGGCTAACGTCAGCACTGTACACCCCCACGGCCTGCGGGCAACGGCCCCTGACCCAGGCCGGGGGGGTCAAGGGCAATTCAGGACAATCAGGAACGAGGAGGCAGCTGGAGGAGGGAGGGGGAGGGAGGCGCAAGGCCCGTGCGGCTGCAGGGGCGGCCCGGCAGGGGCGGGGAGAGGAGAGGGGAGGGGCGGGGCGGACGGGGGCGTTGGCAGTCAGGTCGGAGGTGGTAGTGGTCGTGGTCGTGGCGCTGTCGTGCAGTCGTGGTCGTGGTGCTTGCTGGCGGTGGTCGCGGTTGTCGTCGTGCTGGCGCTGGTCGTGGTCGTGGCGCTGGTGGTCGTGGCGGTTGCCGTCCTTAGGGTCGTCGTCGTGGTGCTAGTAGTAGCGGTTGTGCGTGTGGTGGTTGTGGCCGCGGCCTTACTGGCCGATGGCGCTGAGCACCATTTCGGCATTGCCACGTTGGAGGTGGCGGGACAGCTGCCGCCACACTCTGGCGAGCGCCTCGCCCCGCTCTGCCTCGCCGAGGTTCTGTCCGTAAGCCTGGATGAACTCTGCGGCTTCGTCTGACGGGCGGCCCAATGTCTCGAAGACGAGTGGGGCGAGGTCTCCCCCACTCGGGGGGTATCTGTCCCGCTTTTCCCGCACCATGGCCGCTGCGGCGACGCCGTCGTTGTTGGAGCGTGCTTGCCTGC